TCAACTGTGCCTTTGGCTGGGGATCCCAAAAGACTTTGTGCCACTGGGAGCACGACAACCAAGTGGATTTAAAGTGGGCAATCCTGACCAGCAAGACTGGGCCGATTCAAGACCACACAGGTAATCATGAGTTCATGATTTAGCCATTTTACATGGGAAGAGGTTTAATAGCAACATGCCTTCCAAAACCAGAGGAGAATGAATTACACCTAAAATATATAGAGTCTCAAAGATGATTTTCTAGGCAACCTAACCCGTTATATGTAGTCACAACTGACCACAATTGTGCTTTCTGTTGGGGAATAAAGATCGTTTATTGTCAGCAACTGAAGATATTCCTTCCTCCTGACTTGCCTGTGGAAAACCACCATCTAGGGTAGAAAAAAAACTGAATGACCAAATATTCTGCAGATATCACTTACCAAGTGATACAGTCATAAACAAACTTCACTACGGGGGCTGCCCACCACAGCAAGGTGTTGTAAGTGAAACTTCACGGATGGATGTATTTCCATGCCCTCCTCCTCTCCAGCAGGAGGTGGAGGTTATAGCCATCCCTTCACTCACACACAGTTTTTCCAGAAATATCACCCTGGGAAATTGATTGGTTGGTTTCGTAGAATCTAATCCATGGCTCTGCATAATTAGGCAATAAATATGCTGCTGGCTAGTGGCGAAGGGAAGGCGCTGCGTGACCTGCACAGCCTCTCACTTTAGTGTTCTCTCTTGCATACGTGCAGATTAATCAAATGTGTTGAGATGAATCCCCTTCCCACTTCTGCAACCCTTTGCCTAATGAGAATGACAAGGAAATTAGACAAAATTGGACTTTTTACATTCTGAGACGCTTTCAATTGAATCTTAAGACAAGTACAGTAGTTTCAGGGAAAAAAAAAACTTATAATACTTTGACTATAAATGGCATTGTACAAATAAATGGCATCAAATTAACTAAATGCAGTTAGCTGAAGTGAAGGCTGTAATGGTGGAAAAATTGATGTAAAGTGAAATGGCTCAGTAGGATCTGACATTGAAAGGAGGTTAAAAGCTATGTTAGCCAGAGACTGACAAAATCTAAAAGGCATGCATAAGTAAAGCTCTAATTAAGACAATGAAGACAGAGTTCCTGACCCAGCACTGCGATAATATTCTGGAAATGAGAGCTATCTGCACTTTGCCACCAAGGATTATAGAGAGACTGAACCTGTCTTCAATCAAGAGATGAAGAAATAATATTCTTCAAATGAGATTTTGTTGTTTCTGCTGGGCCCTGCTAGTGCAGAAGACTTATTTGTTCCGTTAGCTGTATCTCCAGTAAGTCTTACAGGCAGCCCCTTTTGCTCTTTACTGCACCGCACTAACTTTCGATATTTGCCAAAATTTTCCTTCAACTCTAAGGGCACCTTCACCTGCCAGGTTTGCTATTCGCCTGCCAGCAGGTACAGAATGAGTGGGGTGGGTGTGAAAGGAGACCTCAGGCAGTCTGAATGGCATTGCCATCCCAAACAAGCGCCTCAGCATCACCACTACACAGCAAGGCCACCCTATATATTGGGAGAACCACAATGAGCGATTCCCAGGCGTATCTTGTTCTCAGCTGCACTTCTATAAAGCTAAGAAACTCCACAGAAGTGATCTTCAACAGCAATTGCTTTAAGACAGCAGGATATGCTATATGTCACTTCAAATTATACATGTTATGATTAAGTCTGGCCAGAGTTAGGTCTTCCAACTGAGACAGCCATCCTAATGCTGTGATTATTTTTCTTCTTTCCTCCCTTCGGATTTCCCTATCACCATTCTTTGATGAGATTTGCACATGTTGTGCTGCCCTCTGCACAGAAGCAAAGTTGGAAAGAACATACAGGCACGAGCACTGCTGCTGAAGGAGCTGGACAAGATGTTGCTTCAGTAAGACAGAAAAAAGGGGAAAAAAAAAGAAGCCTAAATTTTTTGGCAATTTAATATCATCTTCCCTCAAAAAATTCTTCCGAAGACCAGATACTTCCACATGCATATTGGCCAGGATACTTCTGACTGCCCACAGAAAAATCTAAATAAAACATCCTTGTCTCCTGTTAGAAGAAATATTTCCCGTTCTCATTTATTAAGCCCACTCCTTTCAGCCACTGGGTTTAACCCACTCCTGTCTGTTGGTGATTCACTTTTTACTACCCTGTCCTTCTTAATACTTCCCAGAGTGACAGTGCTCATCTTCCCTTCTTCGTTGGTGCAGGACTATACCATTACAAGCCAGCAATTCTCAGTTATATGTTATTTCAAATTAAATACAAGAATATCATGTATAAGCAAAGACCAGTGCTGATAAAACATCACCCTCCCAAAGCATCTTATTTCTCCTCTTTTTTACTTTTGTTTAAGCATTGGTATAAACAGAGAGAGAGAGAGAGAGAGAGACTTATTTCAGCATTTGAGAAGTAGTATTTCTTGTTATTACTTTTCTCCTTCCTACTTTCAAAATAACTTTATACCAATGCCGGTAAATGCTGTCTCCATCCCTTTGTGCAAGTGCATTACATATGCAAACTATTCTTACATACACCAGGATGAACTTCATATTTTTCCACCATAATTCTCTGCAAAGAAGCTGTTCAAAAGCTGACTGGAATGGATGCCTCGCTGGTGTAAATCAGAAGCACTTCCCTGTAGTCAGTATCTTACTTAGCAATTTTCTGTTACCAAACTAATCACACTCCCACATGCTTCTCTCCCAGTGTGATTAAGCAAGTAATTTTCCAAGTTAAGGGTATTAGGTATTCAGATTTCAATGTGTATAGATCCATTATGCTCTTTAGAAAATACCAGCCATAATCTCACTCCTTCAGGAAGCAGCTCACAAATATGATATTGCCAAATAATATCATTTTCCCAATGTGTTCTTGCCAAAATCAAGGGAATAGCTCTGGCACCGTTTGTGACAATGCTCAGCCTCTATTTGGGAGCACTGTTTAGGTCTCAGTTCCTGATCTCTGGCCATGGCTGTTCAAAGCTAGTTTACCCTCCAGTGTTCTTCCCATTCTAATCTTGCTCTCTTGAGCACAGATTACTTTAAACAGAGATTAAAAATAGCTCTTTGCACAATTAGAGTAGGCCCCAAGGGATTTCTGTCTAGCCCGCTGAACTAGGGCTGGCTCTCTTCAGGAGGTGCACGCTGACTAGTGGAACATACGCTGTCACACCAAACATGCTTTTGCCTCCTTCCCTGAGCAAAAGAAAATGCCTCGTGTGTGCCATGTAGTGAACATCTTGTTACGGTGCACTCTCACAAAGCATCCCAACGAACAGCAAAGGAGACTGCCAGAAGGAATGAACTCTCCTTAGCACACATCAGCTTTCCCAGAGCTCCCAAGCCAATGCCCTCTGACTCTCTTGGTTGTGAGGCTTGACCTGTCAGCATGGAAAGAAGGCAAAATGGTCGGGGGGTGGTTGGGGCTTCTTAGGTAAACAAAGAATATGAAAGCTGGTGGCTCTTCCTAATGCAGTCCTTCTGTCACAGTAGGAGATGGCAATTTCATTTACTCACAAGCTGACGAAAGCCAGAAAGGGAAAGTTGCCCGGCTGCTGAGCCCCATGATTTACTCGCAGAACTCTGCCCACTGCATGACTTTCTGGTACCACATGTCCGGCGCACACGTCGGCACCCTGAAGATCAAACTGCGGTACCAAAAGCCGGATGAATACGATCAGGTGCTGTGGACCCTGAGCGGGCACCAGGCAAACTGCTGGAAGGAAGGACGTGTTCTTCTTCACAAGTCTGTGAAGCACTATCAGGTGAGCTTGGCCACTCCTCGCTGAACTAACAGACCCAAGGCCAGTAAGACCTTGCTGGTCATGTTTGCTAAACCATAGCAGAAAATGTCACTGTAGGATTTATGTAGAGAGTATTCCACCTACAGATGAGGTGTTGTTGCTGTGACAGTAATAATAGTGGTGCATTTCATGGTATCTCAGATGACAACAATACAAGCAATTTGTTATCAAAGGCCAAATAAATAGTTTAAAAATCATTTCTCATGTCACAAAACTGCATCCTTGCCACAGTTTTGCTGCTGGTGGAGAAGTCTTCAATGAAGTGATGACATTCTATAAATTCACTTCTGCATGCATAAGTTCATAAAGGCATGCAGTGCAGATTGGCAGGCCACAATCAAGTACATGTAGATGTGGCATCATGACAAGTGAAGATGTGTGTTAACAACTAATTAAGATATCCTGAATGCTGCAATTGTGTGTTAACAGGAAAACAATGTGAACATTATCTTATTTTGCCAGGTGGTTATTGAGGGAGAAATTGGAAAAGGAACTGGAGGAATTGCTGTGGATGATATTAAAATTGACAATCACGTAGCACAAGAGGATTGCCGAAGTAAGTATGAATAGCAAGAACATAAAGAAATCTCATCCAAAACATTATTTATTTTGTTTTGATAGCTTTTTTTTTTTTCCTGTGAGAAAGGGACAGATAATTATTGACTCTATAGGACGTTTTGCACTGAAAATATCCTGATCTGGCCCGTAGCTTTATTCACAGTAAGTGCCACTGTTATCACCCCACTACCACAGCAGCTGCAGCCTTTTGGATCAGAACTGGCATCCTACTGACATGGGTCACAGCATGTTCACATCCTCACATCTCTCCCTGTATTTCATATCACTGTCCTCTTTAAATTTCTCTGCTTTTCCTGATGTTCTTCCCTGTTCTAACTAATGCTCAAAATCCAATTTTATTTCTTCACCCTTTTTAGATCACTTACTGCCAAGCCTACTTTAATTCTTCCCTAGTTTTTTTAAAGGACCGTATTAAACCCTTACAGGATGCGCAGACAGGGTGAAACGGCCCCTGCTCTATCCTCTGCTGTTCTGTAATTCTGAGTTTGCTGTGACTTGTTTGCTGTGGGACACGAAGTAATGTTAGAGCACGGCCTTTTCCACATCTGAGCCAAGCTATTCCTGAGATGTTATTTGAGTCCTTTTATTTCTGGCCAGTCTTGAGTTATTCCAGTCACTGCTGATCATATGTGCATTGCATACGGCAGGTAATTTGGCAGCAGCAACCCCAGATGAACACAAGCAGCTGAACCCTTGTCCTTCATGATGGAGATGAAGCAATGACTTTTATGTAGGAGAGGGAATAGAACTGCGAACCCTCAGCATTAGAAACGTAAACGTATGCCATGTGAGTTGGCAACACAACTGAGAGCAGTAATAGAGGGTGTCCCTCAGCTTTTGTAGCTAATAGCCTTTTGAGGGTAACGTGACAGACTTCAGCTACATGGTAATTTCACTGCAGGACGAGAAAACTGTACAATCTCTTTTTATCACACAGTCCATCTCCTGGGGTTCTTCATATGCCACCAGAGGGGCAGTGACCAGGAAAGAGAGGCAGGATGCTCTGCTTGGTCCTCCTGCAGTGTCCTCAGTGCCAAGAAGGGTGCTGGGTCCACAGTGATGGTATTTACCTGATTCCAAATGGGAGAAGAAAGTAACTTCTTTCCTACCTCCACACATCTCTGTTGTTCAAACCAAATGCCGAGCAAAGATTTTGGCCCGTGGGAACTAAAGCCAAAAGCCTTGTCTGAAACCCAAACACAAGTGGTCTTGCTGGAGTCAGTGAAACTATTCTTGTGATTAACTATGCCTATGCTGATGAAGTGTTATGGAATTGGGCTCCAAAATTGTAAATACAATGAATGAGATGCTAATTCATCACACTGATTTCTCTTTCCCAGACATGGAAAACCCCTGCTGACAACTAAAACTGTGCCAAGACCGGGCAGAGAGGAGTTTTTAAATCTTTCTTTTTTCTCCATTAATTTTCAGAGCCCATCATAATGAACAGTTCTGTCAAGCTGACATAATGATGCTCTGACACAGGAAAATCTGCTATACCATTATTGCCAGCATGATAGTCAATCAGTGTTTGTAACCCTAATAATCAATGTCAATTCTCTTTGCTTCATTAGAATCAACTGATGTGGAGAATGAAATAGATGAAGAAGAAGACACAGAAAGTAATCAAACAGGTAAAAATTGTGTTATTGTTAAAAGAGAATTAATTTTAAAGCATGTTTTCATGTGAAATTGTATATTGTATTTATTTATTTATAGATTAATTCTCTAACTGCATGTTGTATTAAGGTTTTTTATTTATCTAGATCAGATGTTAAGAAGGCTTATGTTTATTTGGAAGGTGGAATAGTTTTATTCTTCTCTGTCATATAGTCTTATGGACTTTGAATTATTTATACCTGTATCAAACCCTTCAAACTTTATATACATAATTTGTTACATCATATACATATATACACATGCACACTATAGCTCCTTAGTATTTTGTTATCGGCAAGGCTTGTCCACAGCTAAAGGAACAGCTATAATTATATCTTACAATTTATGACTCACGCAGTGTCTAGGTAATTAGGCTCAAGACTCTTCAGGCTAATTGTTTCTCAGACCTGGCTGAAAATGTCACTTTATGACCAGTCTACCAAAGCATTATCATTTTCAATGATGATAGCTGTAAATGGATCATTAAATGGATCATAATTGTCATATTGTCCCAATAATAAAATATCCTTGCATTTTTCAGGCAATGAGCTTAATTTTTTTGTTACAGTCAACAGGATTGCTGTCATTGATTTCAGTGAAAGCAGCGTTTGTCCAAAAAGACTTTTTGGCTTTTCCTGCAACAATTAGCAGGGTTTGCAAGCTTAATGGATCTCTTTCATAAACCAAAAGGGGTGAGGGAAAACGTTATGATACTCGATGAATATTTCACACAAGGGGGCAGAGTGCTCTTCTGTGTCAGTTCTGTCGCTATTTCCATTTCAAGGTCAGTGAAGTGGAGATGGATGCAAACCGGCTGCAGATTCCAGACCGATGTCTGAGGCTGTAAACATTCACACTGAGCTGAACAAGATTTAATTAATATTTTTGAGCTAAATACTGCAAACTGGCAGAATATAATCAAAAAGTCTGGTTATTCATTCCCAAGACTCCCACTTAATCCACGGCAGAATCAGACCCCTGCTAACCTGCAGCAGATTCAGGGATTGGAGAACAGTATGGAAAAAATCAACAACTCTTTGGGCTGCATTATAGTTTCCAGCTATTTATGACTACTTCCAAGAAGCTGGGTTTTCAAATTTTGTAGCAGTTTATGCCAGAAACTTGATGTCCTTTCTCCACATTTCCAACTCATCAAAGTTCTACCTAGAATCGGTTCTGAACATTTTGCAATTCTTTCCTCCATTTCAGGGTTTACGCCTCCATACCATACAGGTGAGGACTACGATGATATCTCCAGGAAACCAGGCAATGTCCTGAAGACCCTAGATCCAATCCTTATTACCATTATAGCCATGAGTGCACTTGGGGTGCTTTTAGGAGCCATCTGTGGAGTTGTCCTCTACTGTGCCTGTTGGCACAATGGGATGTCAGAGAGGAACTTGTCTGCACTGGAGAACTACAATTTTGAACTGGTCGATGGTGTAAAACTGAAAAAAGATAAACTAAACACACAGAATTCATACTCGGAAGCATGAAGGTGTAAAGCGACTGGAGAAGTTTCAGAGAATCGGGATGGAAGGACATAGCTCGGTCATGCTGGGGAACTGTTGATCTTCTTTTACTGTACAGGCTGAAAAGTGCATTGATGACACTGAGCCAAGCTTTTCTCAGGAGCTTCAATGAGTGTGTAACCAACAAACATGGACAACAATCTGTGTTAACAATCTGAATCATGTACAGTCTGCTTTTTCTGTTGGTTTTATTTGAAATAATCGAATGCTGGTGTTGAGACCAAGTATGATTGACTTATAGTTCATTTTGTCTTTCTTTCTCTCCCTCTTTTTTGTTTTCCGTTAATGGATAATTTTGGTTTTACTGTGCAAAATCCAAGATGCTGTCACAAAATGTGTTCAGTGGGGTCCTTTGGATGGACATGCTGTCTGTAGCTCAGTGCCCAGAAAATATTGGAGTAACAGCAATTTAGTGGACTCCTGCACCTGTATTTGTGTATAATTGCTCGTGTTGTGCATAGGCAAAGAAGGGTTAGGATGTTTTTGAAAGTACTGCTGCATCAGTACCGATATAGTGTGTCAGCTCTGTTTACGAAGCAATACAGTCAAATTTTATTGATGTTTTTCAGTGTTGTACTAAATTTTGTGCTTGTGAACTCCATAAAAGAGTATGTGCCATCATCAGACACAACTGGTAACCGAGTGTACTGCCTAAAAACTAAACAAAAAAGTCCTTGGCACTGGCTAGTGTATGTCCTCTCAAGTGCCTTTTTGTTTGTACTGCTTCTCATTGTGTTAACGTTAACTATGGCTCTGCTTCTCTGCCGTTATGCCCTTGTCTTTAATCATACTCCGATGGCTCACTGACTAAAAGAAAAGTATATTTTAGTGTGAGAAAGTAGCCTCAGCAAGGCAAGGGCTAATCAGATTTGACAACCTGGCTTGATTGTTCTGCTTTCTGTATTTCAACCTCATGTCTCTTGACCCTTTTGTATAAAGCTGCAATATCCCCTTTTATTGTTCTTTCATATAGAATGTATTTTCAAATGTAAAATCTCTCTCTCCCTTTCTCTTCTCTTCCTCTCTCTCTTCCTCTCTCTGAGTAGTTTGCATAAGCATTTGCCATTGCCAAGGAAAGAAAACTGCAGCTTTAACTTGCTGGTAATGGCAAAGGATTTTATTAGAGTTTGTGTTAAAAAATAAGGGAAAATTCCTAACTTTACCCTCCAAAGTCGAACTTTGGGTTTCTTCTTAACAGCATAAAGTGACAGTATCTTTTTTCCTGAAGTCATGAAACATGTCTTTTACCCTGAACAGCTTGCCTGTTAATTACCCTAGGGAAAATGATTCGCTTACTGAAAAGATTGCCTTTAAAATGAGAAACTTTCCTCCTCCTGCCCCTACCTGAACCCAGAGTTCTGTTCTCCCAGTAAACGTGTATTTTCATGCTAATCAATGCTAATTGGGAGAATGATGGGTACTGAGGACAGAATAAAATCCCACGGTGTATGTAGGGTATGTTCTTACCATCCTGTTTTATCCAATTGCCATTTCATACCAGGAGGTTTCTGTTTGACCAGAAGTGCAGATCGTGACAGGTTCAGTCAGCTGAGTAGCGTAAGCTGTCAGAAAAATGTGTTTGACAATTACATGGCAATTTTTTTATCTTTTAGGACAAATATTATTGGACAAATAATGTTCAACAGCCTATGCAGCTGGTCCAACAGGGTAGAAAGAAACAAGATTTTGTGGCCCTCGGGGGTCCATAGGAGGAGGCGAGGGACCAGAGGGATCATTCCCCTCCTGCAGGTGTGAGGGGAGCCCCTGGGTTTTCTGCGGTGACCTGCACACAGCACAGCCATAACAGTGGAAGAAGGCAGCTTTAACCTTCCCTTGGGTACCTACCGACCGGCAGGTAAAACCAGTGCAGACGTGGGGAATGGAATGTCCTGCAAAGTGCTGAACTCATGTTTGTCTTCACCGATTTCCCCAAGCAGAGTCAGGGACTGTGACTTTCTGAGTTAGTTTTTTCCAAAATAGCTTTTGTAGTAGAGCAATGAAGTACCCTGTGCAGGATTAGGACTAAAGAAGGGCTAATTCAGCCTTGAATTACTAGAGCAACAGAATCCATCCCTATTTATCAATTAAATGTTTTGAAGCATATCATTTCACCAATACAAACCATAAAACAGATAAACCTGTAGAAAACCCACCAGTAAGCTAGAAACTGAAGAAAAGGGAGGGGGACTGGAGGTAAAAATATGAGTCTGGAAATTGAAAATATTTTGAAGGAAGACCCAATAGAAACAAAAACGGACAGTTGCTACTTCAAAAGAGTTCTAGAGTCAGAGACAACAGTGAATATTCAAACACCCATTTAGATGCCTAAACTGGAAGAGTTACCTCCGTGGGCTCTATACCCTGGGTCCTCCCGAAGGTAAGACAGAGCACCTAAGGCCTGAAAGGTAGGCCTAAAAGTTAGGCCATGAAATGTCCCAAAGAAAAAACTCGCTTTGGCAGAGGCAGAATTTTCATTTGTATCCAACAGTGTGATTTGACCATAACAGTAGCACAGCAGCTAGTTAATTAACCCAAAGAAGAAATGGATTTTTCGAAACTATTTTCAGCCCACTACCACCGTGTGATTCAGGTGTTAGGGTCTGTTCTCCTTAGCTGAAAAACCTTCTAGTCCACTAACCTGACTGAGAGTTACATGCATATATTGCCTTGAAGAGAAAATCCCATTGGGGAGCCCAAGCCCAAAACCTTTTGAAATATTCCCATGGATTTCAATAGATTCTGGCCCAGCTCTTGGTCTTGATCTATTTGAACAGTAAAGCTGGTGGTTGGTGGTTTTTTCTTCTTTTAACATACTCAGAATAGCGAACGTAAAAAGAAATGTATCTCCTTTGTGGTCTTCAGACCTTACTATGATAATGAGGATCTAGCACTGAAGATTTGATTTCTCTGAAGGTAATAGAATGAAAGTTGCCCTTCAATAAAGGAAAAATGATACTGCAACTTTACATTGAAAAGTATCTTGCACTGATAAATATATTTAAAAAAATTATATGTTTATAAAGTTATTAATTTGTAAAGGCAGTGTTACAAAATGTTCAGTTTATATTGTTTTAGATTGTTTCATAATTTTTAAAGTGTAAAATAACATATTTTTTTCTTTATTGAAAAACTATAAAAATCTTCTGTAGTAAAATGATTTCATTTTACTGGTATATTATTGCTTCATGTTTTGTACCATCATAAAACTTTGTGCAAATTTTTTTTACAGAAATTTTTATTTTCTATGACAATATGACACTTGTAAATTGTTGTTTCAAAATGAACAGCGAAGCCTTAACTTTAAATGACATTTGTATTCTCAGACACTGAGTAGCATAAAAAAAGAAATCACATAGAACTGAACTGTAACTTAAATTTCCAAACTATGACTACTACATTCCAAAGAAACAGTTGAATTAAACATTTTCATAAAATATCCCATACCTGATGTATTTTATTATACTAAAATGGATCGGTTTTATCAAATGGCTGGTTTTATTTAGCATTGTGTAACAAGCACAGTGTTTTAATCATGGTTACACATGTTGGTAGGCAACTCCAACAAACAGACACCTTGGTGGGACCGTTCATGGTTTAGGATGGAGGGATTCACCCTCTGCCTGCTGGAAGACATTCCCACTACATGTCTAACTTTGAGCCAAAGAGCAGGGGGGTTTAAGAGGACAAATCTGCCACCACTGCTTGCAGGTTGTAAGTCACCTTGCTGCAGTGGGAAGCCAAGCCACACACCCTATGTAAGTCATACACGCCCCTTGTGGCTTGTTCTTGGGGGGTGAGTTTTTCCAGGGAGTAATGTCCATTTTGGACAAGTTGCTCCACCAAGTCTCTGCTCCAGTAGTAAGGTTTGTACTGATGAGCTCCCTGCAAAACTCCACTGAAGCCATCAGGACTTATCCAATCTCCCAATGCATTGCAGTCGTTGCTGATGAGAGCAAAGGCTGCAAGAGCAACCCACTGGGCCTGATTTGGCATTCAGTTGGGTACTGAACTCCCCTGTGGAACATAAGATCATGGGTAGGGAGGCCTTCAAGAAATCTGCATCCAGAACAAAAGCTTTAGGTTGCACATTTCCTATTTTATTCCATACTTACCTATTTGTTTCTTTTTAACACTGAGCAGTCTGCACATTAAAGATTGTCAAATCCTTTCTGTACATTGCACATATGAACAATGCAGACACTGTCATTATGTCTCCAGGCTGAATGCTCATGAACAAACATTTTACTTCAGCTACTTTACTACTCCTGGGAAAAATATTGTACTTGTTACTACATATTTGATGATTGTTCCACCTGAAGAGAAAGTATCAAATCTTTCCTCCTCAAGAGAACGGTGTTGTGGGTACCTGTTTAAAATATGAGATGGAACTACAGCAATGCACCTGAGCAAAACTTGGCTTCATGGTCAGAATAGGGATTGTTCTCAAAAGACAGTTGTGAAGGCTGTTGTCCATATAATCATGAAATTCAAATTCCTTAGAAATGTACTTCATTGCACTCTGTTTGCTTTTGTGATAAGCAGCCGTGGGGCTCTTTGAGGGAAAATAAATGGCAATGGAATTAATTAGTGAAAAAAAGAAATCTAAAAAGTGAATCCATTGAGGATAAAGTTCAGAAAAGAGAAGTGAGTATTTTAAGTTAAGAAAATTCTCTTCTTTCATTTAGGGGAAATTAATTAGCCTAGAAGCTAACAACTACTTAGCACTAAACCTTCGGTTTTCCACACTAAATAGGCTGCATAAAGGAAAGACAAAAATGGTGCAATGGGATCTGGATTACATTTCAGAACATAACTTGTAAACTTGAAAGAAAAAGAAGAGCAGATGGAAATAACAGATGGGTCAGCTACAGACAACCAGTGCCAGGAGTGCATAATTCTGAGGCTCAGATATTAGGGTCACGGTCTGTAAAAAGGGTCTTTGGCAGGTAGTGACAAGCAAACCCTATTATTATTTCACCAATCAAACATACCAGCCCTGAGCCAGCAGCCACATAGCCACAGCACTGAGCCCATTTCCTTGCCGCCTGGCAGGATGTAAAATACAGCAAAATACACAGCAAAAGGCAGATGTACGGGAGAGGCAGGGGCAGCACAGATGACATAGGGCTGGGTAAGGCCCACTGGCATTGTGGAAATGACAGCAGTGCCAACCTGTACAAACCTGCCCACTGGACCGAAGCTGTCTGTCCCAGAGGAGATAAAGGCTCCTCAGTCCTCATAAACTACCTTATATGAGGACTTAGCAGGCGCATACTAGTATAGCTCTAAAATT